GGACTTTCCAGTTAGCGATCCTACGTTCAAACTGCCAATTCGAACTAGTTCTTTGACCCAGGCCGTTCAGTCCTCGGTAGCCCTCGCATACTGACCACAGAACTCGGGCGGGGGTTCTGCGCGCCACTTCCGGGTGACGTCCTAGCTTTATCACTGATTCCTTTTTCGACTTTAGACATATTTGTTGTGACGGGGGCCTTCATCTGCCGCCTCTCAACCTGGGCCTGACGCTGGCTGCCAACGGGGGGGGGGGGAGGGTGGGTATCTGAAGTTTATTTCGTATGTTCGGCTCTTATTAGCTTTTTTTCAGGTAGCGAAAGAAACTGACCAGATTATTCCTGACTGGTTGAATCAAATGTGCACTGAGGACAGCTTCACCCGTGCTGGATTTGGTGCCAGCACAAGTTTTGGCTCAAAAGGGTTTGGATCCAATTCCGGATTCGGAGCCGGAGGATTCGGATCTGGAGGTTTTGGTGGAGAAGGATCTAGCAGCGGATTTGCAAGTGGTGGCTTTGGTGACGGTACGTGGAGGTTTCAATTTTGCCCCTTGCACTTCTGTTCTTCGTGGTTGTCCTTTTAACACACTCTCGACAGCATGGCGCGGTTACGCATCACGTTTTCGTACGACGGAGACTCATTTTTCTTGATTTGTTTTATTGTTTCTATGATGATTTTTTAAATGACAACCCCAGATGAAGTCGTATCGACGAATTTCCTCTGTGGGTGGATAGAGTAGCCCACGAGTGACAGATGTGTTTTTGTCGCTGCTCGAAAGTGTGCGACAATAGCGCTAGGCTTTACAAAATGAGCTTATGGCGGCTAACGTGAGCTTACGGACGAAATACCTCATGCACACCCCATGAGCTCCAACGGATTACGACGTAGCAGCTTTTTCACATGCGCGCGGGTCAGTAGATCCATTGAGCAAGGGAGTTCAGGCAACTCGTTCAAAACGCATCTCTCCCCATTTCAAGGAGGATGATTCTTCGTTTGAAGGCTTCAATGAGGATTTGCTTTGTTTGATTCTTTTTTTTTCATTTTCAGTCAGTTGGGCATCCACAATTTTATTGTCGACCACTGTTACTCGACCAATTTGTTCTGGACTTGTTGCTTTCATGCTTCAAAACTATGCTTATACTTTATCGAATAGGGAAAACAATGTACTCATCACCCATAAAGAAATCATTTAACACACTACAACGTAACCATGTAAGGCGTACCACTTTACATACCACTTCGGACACGATGACGCGTCCCACCCGAATCATCCCTTTTTCTCGGGCTTGCGCGACTTTTCCCAATGTTTATATTCATTTCATGAATCAAAGAATTGAAACTGTCAAAGACATGGTTTGCCGTATGGTTGAATATGCTTCAGTTTAGCAGAGGTTTTTTAAGCGATGAGTTTGGCAGCTTGATTCATTCCTCGTTTTTTTTTCTAATTCATGACCATATATCAAAAGTACTTTTGACTTCCATAACAGAGAAAAATAGTAAAATTTGCTTTGTCTTGACTATTATACGTTCTTTTTATTGAATTTTCACCACTGTAAACCCGATTAGGTTCTACGCCTTAAATCTTGCTGTAATTGTTTTGTGTCGTCTGTGTTTTGCATAGTTATCACTCAAAATTGGCGGATTTGAGGCGAGGCGGCCGCTTTCGCCAAATCGCTCCTGTTGTATGTAGTATAAAAGACAGAACACACGCTGTGGTCAGCGTGTCAAGGGGTGAAGGCTGCAAGAATTTTTTTTTCAAAAAGATGCAGAGGTGTACCAAGAACGGCTGTCATCAATGTTTTAGAACATAAACACTCGATGAAATCTCTATAATGAACACTCAAGCGTTATTCTCACTCTTTAGCAGGATCAAGAGCGGAAAATCCAGAAAACAAGGACTCAAACGAGAAACAAGAACTCGGTAGTGCTACTTTTGGTGGAGAGGCTCGCGCAGTTGATGGTGAGTGCCTTTGAACTGTTATTTTCAATTCGCTTCGGTTACGTAAAGGTAGGGGTAACAATGAAAAGGCAGTTCAGTAGAAATCAAGGTAGAGGTGGTCAGTGGTGCAGGGATGAGGAAAAACCATGAGAAACGGCTCAGAACCCGAGAAATAAGACTCCTTGTTGCCCACTGACGCCCGCACTGATGTGATTGGCATCACTGCTGTGCTCTTCAACGATTTCGCTGTCTCTCTCACTGGTAATCCTTAGACTACTTTTTTGAAATTATGTTGTCGATGTGTTTCGTGTAGTAACTATGGCTCCCACCAACAACCAATCATCCATAGAAATTTGGATACGCACCTGGATTTGACCCAGAATCTGATCCAGGGGCAAGCGCGCGTTTTTGCCACCGCACTATTTCCTCTCAAATGAATATTTCTTTAAATATTAATTGGAAATTTATTTACCACTTACAAATACCCATTTTCACATCCCATTCGTGTAACAGAGCCAATGTTTAGTTAGGATCACAATTGGGACAAATTCTAAGCCTCACTCTATCGAGATGTTCCGGGTCAAAACGACTGTTTCTACTCCAACAGTTTTTGTCGACTTCTACTCTAACTATGCCGCCACAGGAGTCTTCTGTTCCTCTTCCGACCATCCCAACTGTCAGAATCTGGGAAGTTGGAAGCCCTAACAATGTCGTAGAACGCCACGTCTTCCTCTGGCTGGTTTACGCTGATAAGATTCCCACATCTGCCGTCAGTCCGTTTGCTCATGTTTGTTGCGCTAATGCAATAAATTGGAGAGATATTAAGAACATTAGCACGAGTATTGAGAATTGGAAGACTTTAAAAAAATTTTTGGGAGCTGCGCGCACTGTCCAGTGACCTGCGGTATGACTTGCTTTATTGACTTATCCAGGGTAGCTCGCTTTGACTTCTGACGATTCGCTGACAGAGTAAGAATTATAAAGTTTCTATTTGTGCACAATTCCGCCATCAAATGGGCGCTCCTGTCTCAATAAGTCCCAAAACTGTGGTAGTGCCTTTGACTACGGAAGTGGTACACATGTGTACCACCAGTAGTCAAAGGGTTAAACGGCTAGAGAGACGGCTAAGGGGTGGGCGTGCTGCAGAGGAACGGCGCAGGTAGGGCCTTCTAGTCCGTTTAGGCGTACACTGCAAAAGCGCATTATCCCGCACCCATAGGGGTCCGCCTGCCTTTTGACCAGGATATCTCCACTTCTTCGATCTCCGACCTTATCGTGGAATTCTCCTTTATACGAGTTGTCTTATTGATGGAAATGCCCTGTCGTGAAAGGATCCCATTGAATATTTTCATCTGCACTGTTCCTCCAGCAACTGTTTTGTTTTTGTTTTCTTCTATGGTAGATCTCGAAAAGGCGCTTTGTGTGAAGCTTTAGCTCGAATTTCTCAGTTTGATTTGAAATTCCTCTTTTCTTCAGAGTTTCTCCTTATACTACTATTGTTTTAGATAGAGCTGATGAGCAAAAGAACTCCGACGATGACGGCTCGTGGTAAAGCAGAGGTGGAATTTGAATTCCGAGGAGCTGTTATTTTACTACATGGTTTTCTACGACGTTCCTTTATAAGATACTATCGGTAACAGCCATAACATGTTTTTTGAAGGTTATATCGCCGGTTTGTGGGTGTTGTGTCATTATACTTCACCCCTTTGTGTTGTTGTTTCTAATTTTCACATTTATGGTAGATTTGCACATATTCTTATGAACCGCTGAAGTTGGAATTTCTTTGAAGATCCCCTTAGATACCTTACTTTTCTATTTTTTCACTTGTTACCGCTACAGGATTTGTTCTTCATCATTGTTGGATCTCAGCGCAGCGCTTTACTATTAGGAACATCGGTACCATTGCTTCACCCTCTCTCCATTCCTCGGTGTCAGTTTCTTGTCATCTTTTGTAGAGGAATATGTATACCACATTCTACCCCGGTTTTGCCTACAGATATGCCTTCCAAGGTCATTGTTCTCTAGGGCCCATCTACTTTTTTCGTTTCAGCGGCAAATGCCTACGCTGCGCTGAGGCTTAACTAGTGTAACAGCATGCTTCTAAAATCTCATCGTAGTTAATGGATCTAACTGTTATGTTTTTTGTTGCCTGAAGATTTTCACGTGTTTTTTCTTATCTACAATATAAACGCATTTGATGTCGTTGGAATTGTATTATCTATTGGACGGAACCTAATAGCACCAAAGAGTTTATGAGTACTATGGATTAGTGGGATTACGAAGTCCTATGAGTGACCGCAACCGTAACCGTGACTGGTTGGCGCGCGATGCCACGTGTCATCGATTTGAATTCGACGTGCCCTTTTGTCGTTTTTCCGCGCACTCCACGGCGACAAAATGGACGTTATAGAACCTGTCTCTTGTACGGAGCGTCTGTGCTGTATACATGTGGAGTATGGCAGGTAGTCGAACTTGCCGGCAGGGGGTACCCTGAGACTTACCCCCCATGCTCTGTGCGCGAAGGTATTGTGCACTTGCCGTGCGAGGCATTATACCCTTTCACGTTAGCGCTAGAACGTGCGGGTATACAGCATGCGCACTCCAGTGCCAACGTGGATTACGGTAGCGGTCACTCATCGGACTGTTAAAACCGGCTTGTGTACGGTGTCCGGAGAAATTCATTACAAGGATTTAAACCTGCTTCTATTTGTAGCATCGCCATTGTTTTATTATGCGTGCTTCGTGTTGCCCACAACTTTTTACACTTTTGCTGAAAATTTGTAGGCAACACAAAACGTTTAGGAGTTCAATAAGTGGATTTACACGAGGTATTTGATGCTGCGTGGTACCACGCAGTGTCCAGGGTCCACGAGGAGCGGCAAAGCGTGAAGTAGTGTGTGCCCACAACACCTCAAAAAGGAAAGATGCGTGCATTAGAGAATACTCGGACAACAGCGTGCATGCCTGCCGCGAACTGGAGACAGCTTGCTTCTCTTATTCCAACGGGGGGGGGGGACTGACGCGTGCGGGATGCATAATAAATGCGATGAATAGCGATGAGCCGGTAGAACCGATAAAACGAACTAAGAACCTAATGATCGACAAGACATTCAGGCTAGGCTTATTGTGCCCAGCTTATGCTGTATTGTAGGTTTTGGCTAGCGACATAACTTCATGACGCCAGAGACAAACATTAGTCCTTGAGCGACTTTGCTACCGCTGTGGACACGCCGTTCCGCTTGGTTTCTACTCCATTATAGTTTGAGTTTGAGGCCTTGCTTAAGCTTCCTAGCCTTAGCACACCCCATCGCGTCTCCTGAAGGCACAGGACTTCGATACAGGGTCAACTGCCCATTGTGCAAAGAACAATGAGGGGGTCATGTTTGGCCAATGGAAGGGGAGGGGAGTCGTAATCTCAAGTACCAACCACAAAATTTGAAGCTGCAATTAATGGCTGAGTGGCAAAGGAGAACAGACTTGCAACTGCCGTGCAAATTCGCACCAGACGATTGCATGGCGCCTATCAGAACGGGATTTCTTACCAAAACACGTCATGTCTCAGTGAGCACAAGCAGAAAAATTCTTCCAGAGAACATTCATGCTTTCAGACCAAATCAAAGTGGAGGAAAGTGCAGCGGATCAGGCGGATTGACTTCTAGAGTCCTATGAAAACCTCTGGCTGATGAGAGGTCTTCCTTCCGAGATAGTCTAGCATCTACTATGAAGTACTGATCTTATTACAGTCAATGGTTTTCACCGCTTCTCAAAGTACAGAAGGGCCTAGAAAGCCATAGATGGAAAAACGGAACAGCAGGACTTTTCTGGAAGAGTGGTCCTTTGAAAAGGGCTCAGCAGCTGTTCGAAAGCTCCTATCCAGTTTCTAAGTAGCCTTAGAGATCTGCAAAAAGTTAATATAAGAAAGTTACGAATGTTTGAATAATGAAAACTCACACAAAAAAGGTAACAGCAGGACGATTTTTGAAGAACTGGACATTTTCAATAGTTGACGAACTTTTCAAAACGACTGGGAGTTTTTTGGTGTTGTCGATTGATGGTCGAGGGGTCGGAGGGGGCGGTGCTTGATGCAGTTGTCCGATGAGGTCGATGGGGTATCTATCGTAGGGGAAGCAGCAGGAGTCGTCAGACGTTGGATGCTGTGGTCACTAGTTGTTCGTGGGACGATTGGACTTGATAGATTTATTCGATCTCGTTTGGTATAATTTCTGGTGCGTTTATATACCAGTGGTGGGCGCCAAAGATTCTACGGCACTCTTGTATTGCTACACTTTCTCACAATATTGAAGTATGCTTGGAATCATGATTAGCCAATTTTTTTCAAGAGGGGAGAGATATTAACAATAAATCGTGTTAAATTCCATGCAACGCACTCTCGCCTGTTAAGAGTCTAGGTTATGTTACAACTTCTCTAATCTTTAAGCGAGGAAATACGATGATTGGAATATATGATTGGATTGGGTTCATAGTGGAAGTGGGGATGCTGAATAATGCCCCAGTGGCGAAAAAAGCAAAGAAATCCGTCAAGAAGGCGCAAAATGGGACCCCTTTCTTTGCCCGTTGACCTCCGATAATGGACGAGCTAGCAACCAATTAGGAGGTCGTTTGCACATGTTATGCTGATAGCCTCTATCATTCAGCAAAATCATGCTTTGATTGATGACGCATTCCATGGGAAAGTTATAGGGGACACACTAAGTGGAATACCCAAATGATAAGAAAAGTGATGCTGTTAGCAACACATTAATGGGCGGAGCACATGCGGCGGAGGCAGAACTCGGGGTGGATTAGCAGCCCCAGCCAGGGTGGAAATCGTGTCAAGGACGTGGTCACATCAGTACGACCCCCCCCTACGCATCGGATAGCAGTCTTGATACGACCCACCTCCTTTGATTTGATGTGAATAAGCGTACTCCATCAAATTCAGTTGCAGCGCGGTTTATCCGTGGGTCAGATTTGCCGAAACCCCGCTCGAAACCGTCGAAATCTACACTCTCGATGAAAAGGTTCCATTCCCCCATTTCATAACCTTTGGAGCAGTATGTGGTAGGGTTAGATAGAGCTGGATTTGCTACTACCGGGCAATATTGAAATTGATCTAAAAGCTTTACACTCGAAGAGATAGGGTCTCTCAAATTTTGTCGAGGGAGCGTCGAGGATGCTGAATTTTTCATGCGAGTTTTTGCCACTTAAAAGGCAATATCTCTCTAATTTCGCAAGATCTTGAAAAAAGAAGACAGTTTTGGAAAGCGGAAGGTTTGCGCTTTCTAACAGTCTGTTTAGCTTTCTTCTACATTTTCTAGTTGAGGAGATATTTGCGTCGAGGATCTATCGAGGATGGATCTCGGCCACCTAAAGCCGCTCCCTTCTTCACCATTGCAAGTTCGTTGGCAACTCTCGAAATGTGTCTAGAATAAATTCTCCCAACGTAAGCGACAAGAAAAAGGGCATCGTCCGATCTCGTCTCAGTATAGGCCATGCATCCGACCTCCACTCAAGTTGTAGAATCTATTGAAAGGTGTTATACATATGATGATGACCTGTTGACAGAAACTGTATTGTAGTAAACACATTTCGTAACTCCTGTAACCTAAGGAACAGCTTCATTTGCCCAGGGTCTTTCCAGAACTATTGTCGTTTTTGCGACAGCTCCCTAACAACAGTGTCATTCTCAACGAGGTATTAAGGGCGAGGGAGCGGGCGGTAGATAGAGGAAATGCCTTCGCAGCGCGTGTGCACATGTGACCCTGTTCCTTGCAAAGATGCACTTTCATTCTTTGTATACTTTCAAATACTTCCTTCTCGAAGGTAGAGGGACGGAGCGACTGAACCTGCAAAGAATATTTTATATCATGTTTTCTGCTGCGCTACACCCTCTCACTCCTATCTGCACCACGATGCCACTGACGTTACTGACCCCCATGAGTACGCCCCCCCCATGACTCACCCCGAAACATCTGTCGAGGATGTCCTCGACCGATGTTCACCCTGGCCCCAGCTGAACCAGCGTGCCTTTAGCCACGAAAGGCCATATCGCACTTCCTTAGGCTCTTGCTACTGCCTACACTGTTGCATGTACTCCCATGGTTGCACACACACTTTATCCTAATCTCTCGCTTTAAAAAATGATTGGGGAGAACCGAATCAGCGTAACGAATACTAAAGATCATGAGCTGTGCCCACAATCGTTACAGAACAACTATTCGTTGCTTCCGCCTTAGAAACAATCAAGAAAAATCATAGAGGAATATGCATATCAGGATTCGTTGATATGCATATTCCTCTATGGCATTGGGTAGAACCTGCCGGACTTCCGGTGGTGATATTGGGGAGAGTGAATCTCTGTTCAGGAGCCTAAGCTGACTATAGTATTCTGCCTTCTTATGTCTCAGACCTTTCAGTTTGCCAAAATTCAAGATTTATTGTTTTCTGGTTTTTTGAAGATTCATGGTGCGACGCAAAGACCCTCCTCTTTATCACATTTGCAGCCCTCACAGTTACACTTCGAGCACGGTTCTCCTACCTCGTAGATCGGAG